TTTATAGCTATTAATTGTAAATAATTTTTTTCTTGCTAATGATAATTTTTTATTTAGTGTATTTCTAACACATTAAGTATGTTTCAATAAATCTACCATCTGACTTTAATTATTATTATGTAAGAATAAAAGATTATTTGCATCACAAATTTTTAATTGATCAATTAATACTAAAAAGACAATGTTCATATTAGGCCCAGAGTGCACTCGGGAATTATTGTTATCAATCGAAAGTACACTCTGTAGGAAGTACTGTGGTATAGTTTATTTGGCCAGACGACCTCGGGTTTGGCCATAGTGACCACTTTTATCGGGAAAAATTTGAATGCCAAATATTGTATCTTATGAATAAGTATATCATATTATATATCAATGGAAAGGTATGGATGAGAGGATTTGAAATCTGAAGGAATTTCCCAAATCTGACATAATGTGTAAAAGTTATATAAAAATTAAGAAATTTAGTAAAAGTTATGCACGGTATTTATATTGATTAACTTAATTACTGTACATCATTTATATCAATTTCAATTATGCTAACAATAATAATTAATTTCGGAAATTAAAAACAACAAAAAAATTTTAATATAAAATGTTGGGCCTTTTACCAATTAACATTGAACTTTATCCTTTAGTTCACATTATTTTATGGTTGATTTTATTAATTACCGATACAGCTCTGATTATCAATCAAAAGTATCAAACAATTGAATTTTTATTATTAATAGATTAATATTTAATTTATTAATAGTACATGTATATTTACATCAATTTTCTATAGACTAGTTACTGTAAAGACTGTTACTTTACATATAAATTAACGATTATCTGAATTAATTACCGTATTACGCCGCATATAGGTGCATGCACTTATATCTGAGTTTTCACACAAGGGGTGCACCTATATCCGGATATAGGTGCGGTAGTTTTTTAGACAGTTTTTGCATTTTAGTTGAAATATAAATATACATTGAAATGAAAATAATAGGATCTGTAATTAGACTTTTAGCACTAAAGCGCGTCTAAATGTTTAAACTATATGTGTATTTTCTTTATACACATAAAGATTACTAAAAGATAACTAAAAATTAGTGAGTTTTATAAAGGTTGAATACATTCGTGTTAAATGTCTTTAACAATAAACATGTCTTCACGTGATACATCGATTCTAATAATCAAATTGATCAGATACATGAAATAATTATATATTAACTTTAATTATTAATGAATGTATAACTTACTCATTAACTTATTAACTTTTATAAATAATTTTGACAAATAAATTTTGGTGCACCTATATGTGATTTTTACACAAGGGGTGCACTTATATCCGGATATAGATGCGGTAGTTTTGGTGACATGCAAAATCTGTAAAATTCACTTATAAGTGCATGCACCTATATGCGGCGTAATACGGTAATAAAACAATGAATTATTAAATAGTGAATTGTTTGTACTGTAATTAAATGTCATAAATTAGAAAAAAATGTCATAGTGTATTATTATTCTGTATTTAATTTGACATTATAGTATTAATAGTGACAATAATTTGTGACAATAGTAATGCAAAATATTTTTTTGTGTAAATTATTAAATTTTCTTTTAAAATATTAATTGAAGATTTGAGTACAATTTACTATTAATTAAATAAAAATTATATAGTTAGCAATTATTTGTTATTATTAATCTAATAATAAAATAAAATTAATTTTTTAATTATATTTAAATATCAGTCCAAATAGAAACTACATTAAGTAGCCTATGGTAATTATAGTATAACTTAGTTAAGATTATAAAAATGGTATCGTTATTTAAGTTGATATTTTTAGGTACCAGAAGCCAAGTTTCACAAAAATAGTGCCAAAAATTTGTACAAGAATTTGTCAACATTTATGAGTCAAAATAATTGGCTTTTTCAGTTTCCATTTGTACCAACACATACACATTCATAATCATGTCTAATAATTTTTATAGAAATATTAAACTTATTTTTTTGGCATTTTTCTTTATGAGGAACTTTAATTGTTTGATAAAAATACTACCGGTAATAAGATTTATATAATAAAACACAATAATTAATTGGCACTAACTATAAAAATGAGTTTTTAAATGTTTGATAAAAAAGTATCAATATGTGAATTGCTATCACAGAAAAAAACTTAAAATAAATTATTATATAATAATTATTAAATATTTAGAAGATTCATTTGTTGTCATCTTTTAGTCGGTTTTTTAATTACAATTTGTTTTGAGAAATAAATAGGCGTTACGTGAGAGGGTTTGTATGAACTATAATACAAAAATAAGTAAATATATGTTAAATTAATAATATGAATGTCATACGAGTAGGGACTGTTGGGAACGCCTACGACCAGGATTTGATTGTGCTTATAGTGAAACCTCCACATCGAGTTGTGATACCCTCTGGCATCCAAATCCCATATCTTGAAGCACTTGGCCAGTGATAGCCACGTCGAGTAATCTTTCGGAGCAACCATTTTAATGAACACTACATATATCTGGCCTCTGGTGTCGGGAATGAATGACTGTTCGCACGGACTTTTTGAGTGGTCGACGACTATTGCTTTGCGCAGTAAATCATGGATAAGGCGCTCGTAATTGTCTTTCTTGACACTATTTGTTGAAATGACAACAATATTAATAATAATAATAATACAATTGATTGTGATTTAGTGCTTGTTATGGCAATACCTGTCGACATCTTTGAGGACAATGTCAGGCATTGTATTGAAGGCGTGTTTCTTGAAATAAATGTCTTGAAAATATGAGTTCATATTAAGTCCAGATGAGCCGAAATGATAGGTACGGGAGACGTCGGGAACGACACATTCACGTTGGCGTCTAATGTCGGGCAATCGCATCCACATATCCCAGTCCCATAACTTGTCAGGTGTGGGCCAACTCTGCTCTAACTGTTGTTTATATAATGGTCTACTGAGAAGCCAACCTAAGCCGGGCATTGTCTCCACCCTATAGAGGAGGTGTGGGTCATGGCTGGTGTGTTCGTATGCCTGATCATTCCACGCACTGATGCAATACAGAGACTCGTCCTCATCCAAGAGTCTCATTGTTTGCGAGAAGTATTGGAAAAAATCTGGCGAAACGTCTAAATCCTCTTCCAAAACGATGGCATACTTGGAGTCGGGAAACAAATTAAAAGTAGCCGTCAGACTGGCCTTATAGTGCTGACTGATCCGTGCGTTACCCACACCAATGGGCGTGTGTTGGATACCTCTTAGACCAAACAGTTTAGTCACTTCCAGGGGCTCTTCAAAGTAGCCATCGATGAATACAGTGATCATCGATGGATTACATCCCGCAGAGGACAACAACGACCTCAGCATTCGGTACAAATAATGAGGTCTATTGGAGGCGACAATAGCTACCGGAACCGATGAGATGGGGTCTGACAGGTGGACAGGAGGGGCCAAATTGAGTGGCGCCGGCTCTGAACAGCTGCAGACACTGCCGTAGCCCTCAATTCGGGAACAAAAACTCTTTCGGCGCAAATTCTCTTCGCTTTCACTCCAATCGCATTCACTCTGAGAGACAGTACTCAACCCAATTTCTACCCGAAGCACTACCGGTGCGCCCCAACTGTTGAACTCCGGCGAACGGCTATAACTTTCGGCCAAAATTTTGCCCCCCTTTTGGCTAACCATTGCCCACATGTCTCTCCAGCCGATCTGCTGAGATCGCAATGAGCCCAACCTCTTGAGCACATCCCTAGTCGACTGTTTCATCTGAAACGTTCCCTCGTCTTTGATACACATTATGATTATCCTTCCGTCCGTTACCATCGATAAGAACAAAGACATGGCTTCGTCTTCATGTGGCGAATACGTGTCGAACAGGCGCTGAGCCATCACTGAACCAGTCGTCTGATGCAATACCAACACATGAATGCCTCGACCTTTGCCCTCATCCGTGTCCTCCAAAATCTGTACAATCAATCAATTCATCGATTAATCCTCGCAACCAATCGCTTATCACAATGTCTTACAGTCGCGCCATCGATGGTAACGCTAACCCGTGACTGACTCGACACTACTTCCAGTTTTATGGCATTTCCAACACCACTCGAGTCCAAACCCAAACTATTTGGCTTTTCATCGTCTTTTAGAGTACATTTAATTTAGTTATTATCAACTTTTAGGCAATCTATTTGATTTATTTATTGATACTTTCTGTATCTGTTTGTGAGCTCATCCGATGTGTTGTATCGACAATGAAGAGCACATTTATAATTAATGTGACCATAAGAATGACCAAAAAGACGAACTATAAGTTTATAGATACATATTATGGATTAATAATTTTTACAATTAAATTGAGTGTTAATTAAGTTCAATGATATCAATATCACTTTAATCAGTTTTTATATTGTAACTTTTTTTAATTGTATTAATCGAATTATCAAATATATTTGCATGAAATTTATTACTATCATAACGAGATTTATTATTTTCACATTATGTATATGTAGGCTGGCCAACTGTCCACTATTTGAGTGGACAGTCCACTATTTTGGGTTTCTGTCCACTAAGAATTGAGATCAAATAGTGGACATTGAATTACCAAATATTCGATTTTAAGAAATTTAAAATAATTTTGATAAAAACAACAAAAAAAGATTATAAATAGAGTGATTTTCTTATTAAAAATGAAATATTTATCATTAAAAGGTACTATTAGTGTTCACATATTAGTGTACATAATGATATATATCGTTATTTATAAATACATATATTTATTAACTAGTTTAGAAGCTAAAATTGACCAAAAATTAGAGCCAAAAATATGTCCACTATATGTCCACTATTTTTATCATATTTTTGAGCAAAATATAGCAATTGTCCACTATTACAAATTTTTGAGTTGGCCAGCCTATGTATATGAAATTTGATTGAATTAAATGTCATTTTCTTTTGTCGAAACCAAATAATGGCATAAAATGGTTATCAATTTATTATATCATAACTTCTATAATATATAATATTTTGCTTGCATTTCAGTGTTTGTATTTCTGTAGCATTTATATAATGTTTGGTTCAACACAATTGTATCACAAGTTATATCTCTTTTCTATTAACTCTTATTTTGTGTTGCATTCGATTCTATTAATGATAAACACATTACGGATCCAACCATTCAATGACAGCCATATTTTGGTCAAATGTTAACAAAAATGTGTTTATGTTATGTGTATTTTATAATCATTTATAAAAATGAGGCAGTAAATCACAAAGTAAAGTTAGTAACTAACCAGTCAATTCATGCATCCACTTAATATTAAAATGTATTTGTTATTCAATGCATTTAACTTAACATTTTCTAACGAAAGTATATTTACTGCTTTACTAATTCACGTTACTTTGTGATTTATCCACACGAATATAAATCATTATTGATTTGAGCAAAAATGCTATTTCGATGTTATTTTAGGTATAATTAGTAATTACTTTAACATTGTACTTTATCATAGGCTTAACGTTAGTACATAGAATAACAGTAGAAACCTGTCGAAGATATGGCCATAAACAGTTTTGTATAAATGGGATCCCATGTCAGCCCCGGTCACATCAACTTTCATACTGGCAATAGTTATTTAGTAATTTATATAAAAGTTTTCAAATTTAAATAACACTAGAATAGCATTCATATGGATAACGAACTATACTTTCAACCGTTAGAGTAAAAAATTAATATTTGCTCAATATTGAAATTATTCTCTTTAGGTTAAATTAAGAATGATCATATATTCAGTTATAATTAAATGCATATACAGTGTATATCTAATTAATATTGATTAGATCAATTTATCTGATTAATAATAATCAGTGATTATATCATTAAAGTGCAATTGATTTAATCAAAATCGGTCCAATAGTTCTCTCACTTATAAACCATTTTGGTTAGATTTTGAAAATGATTTTAACAAATAATGAAAATTATTACTGTATTATATTTATCAAAACTTTGTTTAATTTTGAATTGAATATAAATGTAAACAAACCTGCAATAATCTGGTTATCAAACGCCGAGGTATTAATAATTGATTCCTTAAGTGATTCTTTGAATGATTCAGAGTTTGTTTATTTAATAAATGAAGCGTTGAATCGGATTGAACTAAAACCAGTGAAGGCAGAGAACGCGTTGTTCGCAATTTATACATCGTTTCACTCATTTTCATTTCTACACCAAATACTTGTTAGACATGATTTATTTAGCACTTTTGCAAATGTTCCAAATTAATAATAATAACAATACATGATGTTGAATTAAATAAAATGTTATTAAGCCTTCCAGATATGTTACTTGTCCATTAAATCTGTGAATATAAAGTTGGTTACAATTATAATTTATAAATATTATTGATATATACCGGATGTAAGAAATTGTGTTAACAACTCAAATTTACAAAATGATTTAAATTAAATTAATTAAATAGATTTAACCAAATCTTCTTCTCTATTAAGTTTAAGCATATTAGGGAACATGTAATAAATATGATAAAGGTATTTTTAAAGTAAAATCCTGAAATAGGTTTTAACTTATTTTGTGTAATAAAGAATTTGTTGTAAAATTAAGATATTTTGTAAACATAAAAACTGGAGAATCTTCAATGGATCAAAAAGTACAAGCCTAATTTGAATTCTGATTTCAGATTAATAAAGTAAACACACAATAAGTTGATACGACTTCAATATAAGAGATCAGCCATATTGACCATATCATAATGAAAACCCCCGGAGTTGACAATTAATTTGATGTATTATTTGATTTTCTAGACCGAATACTTTTCTAAATATTCAAGTTTACTTGTGTTATGTCTAGGGTTGTTACTTTACCGGTAAAATTCAATTCAATCTTACATTACCAGTAATATTCGGTAATTTACGGTAATATTCGGTAAAATTGGTAATTTTTCACAAATTAATTGAATCAATGTTCAGTTCTTTATGGAATATTAATTATATACCTAATTATGATAGTTATCACTTGTAATATAATTTAAATCTACAGAATTTCTATCAGTTATAAGAGATCAGCCATATTGACCATATCATAATGAAAACCCCCGGAGTTGACAATTAATTTGATGTATTATTTGATTTTCTAGACCGAATACTTTTCTAAATATTCAAGTTTACTTGTGTTATGTCCATTTTGTATGCACTGTATCTCAATATAGTTAAACATATTGTCACAAGATTTTTAAAAATCTATTCAATTAATTTAATTTAAATAAATTTTTGATTCATTTTTTAAACAAAACTTAAAAGGGGCGAAATATTTGGACCTAATTAGCATTAATGAATTTATTAGTTCCCTTGAAATTTCTATTTTCCGGGACATTCCCATATTTTGGGAGGGAAGATAACGGAAAAATACAAATCTTCCCAAAAGTATATAACATTAAATATCATTTTCATTATTCTACAAAAGATATATCATTGCCAATAAGAGTAAGAACAAAGAAATTCACTTAACTATTAGACAAGTATTATTAATAATTATTATTTGATACACAAAAGGAAATTAAGTTTTGGATGTCTTTTGTCATAATTTGACAGCAATAACACATACATGAATTGATGTGTCAATACTTTATATTACATGATTTGCTTATATTTTAGTATCGATGGATGTTTTTTGCAAATTTCCAAATTAGAACAACTCTTGTATTGCAAAATGTTGCTTTTTATAATGTACTCATTATGAGAGTGTAGACTTAAAATTTAGTTTAGATTAATTCATAAAAATGATTAAACTCTTCATCGGTTTCTTTATTCTGCAGTGTTTTACTTATGAAAGTCTAACGTAAGTTCTGTGGCTTTCATTACATTTATAATAAATCTAAAGATGTAAAGTTACACGTGTTGTGTGACAATTGAGATGCACTGTACCTGTAGTTGCAATTATAGTCGACGTAATACGCAATTAATGAACACAACTATTCATATTGATTCAAATACAACTTTTTAGAATTTTTGCAGCAATAAATAGATAATTGAATTGGCGGCAAACAGAGTGAGACTATCAGATATGCATTTGAACAAGGCAATAATGAGTATTACTAATAATGTATTACTAATAATGTATTATTTTTAATACTCATTATTGCCTTGTTCAAATGCATATTTGATAGTCTCACTCTGTTTGCCGCCAATTCAATTGAGCTATTTAACAATAAATCCTTTTTAACCACAATTTATTTATGAAGAATGTGGTTTAGAGGATCGTTCGGCCCCCACCCTATGGAAAATAACATGAGATCTCATGTTAATCTTATGGCTATTCTTTAACATGGTAGAGTCTCATAGGTTTAACATAGGTTTCTATGGGATTAGGTCTAGCTTAAGGACCAGTTTAAGTCTATAATAAAGATATAAGGTTAACATGGGTAATGCTAAGTTCATGGCAATGCTAGGTCTATGGGTAATGCTAATTCTATGGATAATGTTAAGTCTATGACATAGGGTTAACATGGATACTAACTATGATTTTTTGATTATAGGTCACATATAAATATTAAATAAATTAATAAAAATAAATTGTAATGCAAGACAATATAGCAATCATTGGAAAAATATAAGATTGCCAGAATATTTGGTGGCAAGGCTAAAGTATATACAGTATATTGAATGGTGTTTCTATTAATTTTATTATACTCTCCATATATTGAACAATAAACTGCTGTACACTCTATATATTGTCACTCTTTGGGGATTTGTTCTCTTTTTGTGCGAAAGTCTCACAATTTTGTTGCACTAAATTAGAGGCAAAGAAGTTCTTACCTTTAATGAGCCGATCCTTTGCTCAGACACTATATTTTCATTCAATTCATCTATTTTTGGTTTTTGTCAAAAAACTTTGCAAATCAATATAGAAGAAGGAAATACTGTTTTCTTATGCCTTGTAGTCAATAAAAACACGACAAGCAGTGAATAAAAAACTTTTGTTTAGTCTATTCATGTATTTTATTTGCAATTCTATGCAATGCTATAAAGAATTAAAGACAAAGTCGCCAAAGAATGATCAAATAGTTCCCAAAATCAGCACAAATGTTATCCAAAATCATAGTAACCTTCGTTGTGCGTGAGAGCACTTCAGGAGCCAATATTACAT